CCCTCCTTCTTTCCCTTTTCTCCCTCCCTCCCTCCCTCCTTCTTTCCCCTCTGTCCCTTTTCTCCCTCCCTCCCTTTCCTTTCCCTGCAGACACTGCCACACCTGGGCAGGCACTGGGCCTCTGTCAGGCCTGGCATGGAAGAGGAGTTGGAGCTGGGCTCAGTGACTTCTGGGGCAGGTCCCTGCTGTCTCCTAGCTGGGTAGCTTTTTTTTTTTTTTTTTTTAGGGTGGTACTGGGGCTTCAACTCAGGGCTTTGCCCTTGTTCGACAAGCCTTCTACCACTAGAGCTACACCTGCAGCCCAGATTTTTTTTTTTAAAGCATACGGAACTCCAAAGGGTAGCTCAGGAGGGTTATGCCTTAAAAGATTTGGGGTCCCTTCCTTCCCCCTTCCCTCCTCCCTCTCCCTGCCTACTGGCTGCCCTGGGCCCTGGTCTGAGGCTGAGCCACCAGAGCCAGGCTGCTTGAGCTCAGCCTCTTCTCTTGGGCAATACAGTGTGTCATCAGAGTGCGTAGGTGGCTCTCCATAAATGGAAGGGGACACAATGGCCAGGGGCCTTCATCCCATGAGCCCTGCTCCAGGCTGAGCTGTGTCCTCTCCTGACTGGTGCCCCCTTATCCCTAGGGACCGCCCCCAATTCACCTGTGAGCCTGCCTGAGTCACCAGTGACCCCAGGCCTGGGCCAGTGGAGTGACGAGTGTACCATTTGCTACGAACATGCTGTGGACACGGTCATCTACACCTGTGGTCACATGTGCCTCTGCTACGCCTGCGGCCTGCGCCTCAAGAAGGCCCTGCACGCCTGCTGCCCTATCTGCCGCCGCCCCATCAAGGACATCATCAAGACTTACCGCAGCTCCTAGCCCATTGTAGAGCCCTACTCTACACACCCACCTCTGCAGTCTTCAGCCATCGCCAGCTGAGGGCCAAGCCCACTGGGCCCCTTCTCTTCCTTAGATTGGAAACTCTTGCTCCTTCTACATTAAATATGGGAAACTGAGGCCCCTGAAGGTGTGGGCTGAGAGGAGTCTGGAGGCAGGGAGGTTGAGGCAAAAGCACATCATGGGCAGAGGGAGGGGAGGAGACCACGCCCTGTCTTTCCTTTCTCTGCACCCAGTTCTTCCCTGCATGCCGAGGGACTGAATTGGGGTCTCAGCCTGTCCCAATCCCTCCCCTCTAGGAGGTTCCTGTTGCCCATGTGGCACCTTGGTGAGAATTGGAAAACATATACCTTCCTCTGACAGATGTGGCCCTGAGCCACATCTCAGGAGTAGCCAACCATCCTTGAGCAGTACACAGCCTGCTCAACAGAGCCCTGGGTGTGCTGCTTCTGAGCTGCTGTCTCACTCTTTGGACCTGTGCCCTCCTTTTCTTTCTTTCCTTCCCTGCCCATTGGGCCTGACAGCTGGGGATAAGAATGCCAGTGACTCCTCTCCCCCTGGGCAGCTGCAGCCTCCATGTCATGTCTTTCTAACCCAGGAGGAAGGGATAACAGGCTGCAGAGGGCTCTAGGCATTGTGTGTCTGGCCTGCTGCCCACCTGCGATAGGCCATAGACTTCTGCCCCAATCATCTCACTGGGTGCTGTTCCCCAGAGGTGCCCTCTGGTCCAGTCTGGGGGTGGGGTCTGTCTGCTTGCAGGGTCTCTAAGGACAGGTCAACAGCGAACCCCTCAGGCCTGCCCTCCCACATCTCAGTGCCCACCTGGACTGATCCTCAGAGGCATCATATGCCATAGGTGGGAGGGGGTTCCCTGGGCTGTGAGCAGCCCTTGTCTTTAATTTATTTATTTATTTGGTTCATGGGTTTTGTTTGTGGATGAGCCCCCCCGCCCCTGGGCCCCTAGAAGTACTGCTGGGGGGGCGGTGGTGAGGGGCAGTAGATTCATCACTCAAAATCCTCCCCGTGCCCCTGCCATGAGTCCCATGGCTGTCCTGCTAACCATGAGTTGGACTTCACCAATAAGGGTCAGGCTGGAGGCCTGGCATTGAGTCCGTTCTGCAGCGAGGCAAATGAGCCTCCCTAGGGCCCTGGGGCTGGGCCCTAGACCTGGACCCATGAAGTACCCTTTCTCCTTGGGAACGGGGCTGCCACGGTTGGCTCAAGGACATCAGGTGGCCTGGCAGTACACTTTGTAAGGACATTAAGGTTCTGGGAAGGATGAGGGAGTCCAACATGGGACAGGGAACAGGGCTGGGGACCCTTGTCACGGGAGCAGGGAGCCTGTTCTCAGGAAAGGTACTTGCCCTGGATGGCTGGAAAGCAAGGGCCTGGCTTCAGCTCCTCTGGGATCTGTGGGGGGAGTGCCCCCGCTGCTCTTTGGTGACAGTCACCTCAGCCCTGTGTACCTGGTCTGGACCAGTGCCGAGTATTGGCCTTGGTGGCTCCCTAGCCTCCCAGCCCCTGCCCCTCAGGTGACTGTATGCCCTCACAGGTGGCTTCTCCTGTGACAGGCAGGGCCTAGGGTTCTGACCTGTCATGTGGCCCTGGCCAGGTGGTCACCCTCTGAAACTCTGCTTTCTCCTGTGCAAAGTGGTTGGTTGAAGTGGGGCAGATTTTCTATGTGGCTCTTGGGAATTCTTTGGAGGGGTTGCTGAGGGATTGTATGGGGGAGGACCCTAGGCCAGACCTTCACCTGCGCTGGCCTTGCAGGGGCCTGGAGCTATCACCTCCCCAGTTAATTGGTCCTGGGAAATCTGGGGCCTGGGGCTGGTGAGTGCCCCATCCAGTTGGGGGTCCCATCACAGAGGCAAAGAACCGTCTCAGGTGCAGGGGCTGCCTGGCCAGCTGGAGATGGGGAAAAGAAGCCATTGTCCACTTTTGTTAGTGCAGGGCAGCCACCACCTCGTTTGTGAACTTGGGTTGCTGTGTTTGTGAATAAAGGTGATTTTGTACCAGCCGGAGGGCTGTGCTGTGTGGAGGCTGGAGGGTGGGCTGGTGTGTGTGTGGGCAGGGCCTCATCAGCTGTGGTCCTGGCCTCTCAGGGAGAATGCAGGTCTCTGAGGCCTCACAGGGGGTTGGTACAAACAAAGAAGGCTTTCTGGGGTGGAGGGGCTGGAGGCTGACCTGGGGTTTGGACAGCAGGGACTGGAAGGTCAAGTGACCTTATAAATTGGGAGAAGGTGGTGCTCTTCTAGTGATCCAGGTCCCTGGGTCTTTGAGGAGCAGGGTGTGGTGGAGTAGGGTGGTGGGAAGCCACAGGATGGAGCTGGCTCAATCTGGCCAGAGAGCCTGTGAGGTGGGTACTGCCACCTAAGGGCTGAAGGGGGGAATGCACATTCTTCCTTCAGGCCACCAAGAGCTCAGGCCCTACCTGTGCCTGGAGTTCAGCTTTGTTTCCACTGGTAGGTACAGAGGCCTACATCACATCGGGAAATAGAACAGAAAAGGGAGAGTTCTGGATAGTGACTTTTAGATAAACTTTCTGGATGTGCTAAGTACATCTAGGTGGCTGGAAAAACTGGGGGTGGTGGGAAGACAGCCAAACAGGGCCCAAGGTCTAGGCACAGTGTTGGGATTATGCTCATTTGGCAGGGCCAAGTCTCAGAGCACACGGGATGCCTGCCTAGGCACCCTCCTGTGAGGATGCTTGAGTCAGCCAGCCTCAGTCTGACCTTGAACCCCACACTAAGACCACAGTGCCCTGATTACTTAAGTCCAGTACAAATAGGTGAGGGTTAGTGCTCAAGCTGGGGGACCAGCCTTGGTTACTCCCCAGGAGTAACCAAGGGGAGGGCTGGAGGAGCTTGAGTCCAGTTCTCACCATAGTAGAACCTGACTTCCCCTCCCCTTCATGTCCCCTTCCAGGAGCCAGGGTGGGGATTCTGGAGACTGCTTTGCTATTCAGCTGAATGGGTTTTCTGGTGTCAGTGAGAATCAGGTGATTCTGTTCCGTTAAAAAGGCCAAAAACTTTATTTAGTTTTCAGGGAAATACAAGATGCATGTAAACATAAACAAAATACAAAACAACCCCAAACTTACAGACTAGAAGCATGCCAAGACAGAGCATTTCTGTAGGCCACAGAGTCCCATTAGGTGAGAAAGGACACCTGGAAAGTGGCAGGCCAAGGGGCTAGGTCCCTTCCCCAAGGACACTGCATTTTTGTGATGAGATTAAAAAAAAAAAAAACCCTACTATTAAAAACATGGAGATAGTTTAGCACCACCATTGAGCCTGGAAATATTTTAGCACTTAGACTGCACTGATTTAAATGTCTTCTTCTCCAGTCTCTCTGCTGAGGGGGGAGAGGGAAAACCTGGAGGAAGGGCTCCTCTTGACCCCACAGAGCCCACTAAGAGCTGGGCAGGGCAAGAGGACCCCACAAGGAATTTCCTGCAATTCTGGAGTTTCGATGACATCAACTAACTCACTTCCATCCATGCAGTACCAATATCCATGCATCAAGGATGGCCACTCACATACATTTTGCTCACTCACATACATCTTGCTCAGAAGCTACTTTCCAGTAACTGGCAGAGAACCCATTCCCCATCCTGTTTCCTGGATTGAGACAAACAAAAAAAAAAAAATCTGTTGCAGGGAGTAAGTTGTAAATCCGTAAGTGGTGGCCATTTACCCTTCTTTGAAATAAACTCTTTAGAGCAGTGTGCTTTGGTTAGAAGCCACCAGCAAATGGAACAGCAGTGTTCATGGATGGGTGTGCTTTTCTCTTGTCCTCATTCATAGCAGTGAGGCAGACTGAGAAAATGGAACCACGACATGTGTCATCAGAGGGCACTGGGAATAGCTCAACAACAGAAGGACCAATGAAGTCCTCCCAGATAGACCTGATGGAATCTGGATCCTGAATCCCAGTTTGGGTATGGTGGGTCCAGATTGCATGTCCCATCATGGTCAGTGGTTTCTGATTCATACAAAGGGCAGTGCAAAAAATCAGCAGGGAACCTGGAAGATGGATGTAAGTCTTCTGGAAACAGAGCCTCCAAACTCAAAAACTGGTTTGTTGCTTGCAACACCTCCATTAAGTAAATCAGTAACTATCCATTGAGGCCCAGCTCGTGGCCCAGAGAGTAACACCATTCTCTGGCCAGCTTCTCCTATGGTCAGTCTCCAGCACTGGCTGGGCCCATGAGTGGTGAATCATGGAATTCCCTGTGTATCTGTTCTACTCTTCCTGAAACACTCAGAATCGACTTCTTCCTTCTTTCTAATCAATAAAGACAAAGCGAACTCCAAACACTCTTCTAGCCTTCCCACAACTTTTCTGCCTACAAGACATCCTCTTCTGGAAGCCTCCTTCCCAGTGAAGGGACGGTCAGCCTCAACAACCCCAAACATACACATGCTCATCTTGCAACATGTCTCTCGCTTGCCTCAACATGCTCGATCCTCTTGCTCTACAGCAACTCTTTCACATACACCTCTTGAAGCCCAGCCCACTGGCCAGGATGGGACTGGGATGGGAGACAGTACTGATTGTCAAGGTCAAGTGCAAACTCAAGATTTAGATTGGGGGGTGTGTATCGAATTCACACACTAATCCCAGCCTTACAGGAAGGTTGGGAATCAAGGCTTTGGAAGGTAAAGCCCTCCACCCAGTCTATAAGCACCAACATGCCCGCCTTGTGGCCTGGGGACCTAGATGTACAGGACAAAGCAGGAGGGAAGTTAAAATGAGTAGGGCCAAGGCCATAATGGGTCACTAACCCTGTCCTCTTGCTGGCTCTGATCACAAAGCTTAGGAGTCCCTACACAGATTTAGGCAGAAAGCTCAGAAGATCTAGGGGCACCAATACACTACCATGAAAGGCTGTCAGGCCTGTGATGCAAATGGGAGGTGTTGCTGTATATGTGTGTGGCTCCTGTGGGTCACACCTTGAACAGGTTCTCACCCTACCCAGCCTGACCACCCCACTTCCTCAGAAACAAGGACCAAAGGCCAGTAGCTCTGAGACCACATCAGGGTTCTCATGCCAATGCCATGCTGGATGAGGGATGGGAGACGGCCTGCTGGTGACACATCTGTAGGTGTGTGACCTAACTTTACCACCTCGGCACTTCCACACCCAATGGCTCTCTTTTCCACATTATTTTGGAGCCTGGAACAATGGCCTAGGCTGCTTCTGCTAGATCTGTTAATGCCAGTGTGAAGTTTCCAACTAAATAAAATAATTAAAAAAAAAAAGACACATTGCACTCTCCAGCCAGAATTGTGTGCATGAATGACACGCACACTTGCTGCCAGAGCTGAGTCCCTTGGGACCTGCCCAATGCCAAGGACTTCTTCTTCAATGGAGACAGCTTGCCCGGTATTTTTTTTTTCTCTAACCCCATGTTATTTAGTTCAAGTGGGAAATTACCAACACACACTCTCATACGCGCACACACACACACACACACACACACAAACACACACACACACACACAAACACACAGCCCTCAAAAAAGTGAGGGAATCTTAAATTCTTTAGTAATGTGGACTGTTCTCTTTCCCAAGAGCTTGCATGGAGATTCCTGAAGTTTGGATATGTGGATGTATCTATTCCAAGGGAGAGATCCACACAGGGCCCCAGTCCCACTCTGGGCCCAGAGATACGTATCTGTACAGAAATTCACCAAATGTGGATTGGAGCAGCAAGCGTACAGTACTGGAGGTGGAGGGGATGAGCCAGGCAAGGACATGCCTGCTGCCCTGGGGGGCAGAGCTCCAGGGGCTGAGACCACCAGAGGAGACTTCTCATCCTGCCACTTTCTCTGCCAGTGCCTAGGATGAAGGCTGGCTTGATACTTGTCATGGGGCGTTCTGTCTGCAAAGAGCTGAACAGACCTCTCAAGGTCTTCTCCCAGGACTCCTGTGAACTGTCTGGGTGTGGAACTGAGGCAGGGCTTGCCTCCGTCATTGAGATGAATGGTGGTCCAGGCTCAGCCCAGGCCCTGCTGCAGAGCTGTGGGAATTGTATCACTGGGTGTGTAGGGTCCAAGGCACCTATGCTCTCCAAACAGTTTGGTTACATCTAGGGTTCCTGCCCATAAATTGAACTGAGGTTCTATAGTTTTTGAAAGACTCAAACACACATCAGAAAGGATCATAGCCCAAACAACAGGAGCCTGGGGTGAAAGAGGGCTGCTGGGAGTTATTTTTAGGACAGGTCTCTCTGAGCAGCTGGCTGCAAAACAACGGAAATGAAAACAAGGAACAGCTCCTGGATGTCCTCACTCTGCTCTGAGGACTGGGCTCAGGAGGTCAAGAGCCCCATGCCACCTCCCTGAATCCCCTTCTCCTGCGCGGACAACACTCAATATAAAAAGAGGCTACCCTCTGGGGGCAACTCGTACTGTCTTGCCAGAAAGAGAGGGAAAGAGAGCTGAAAGATCAAAGCCCTCCCGCCCACTCGTGTGTCCCACAGTTCCGATTCCTTCCAGCAGCCCCCTCGTGCTTTCTGCAGACTGGGCCTTGGAGGTCTGTCTCCCCAGTGCCCTGGCATCCCTTTTGGTAATATTGCACGTTTCCTGTTTCAGGTTGTTTCCATTTTCCATTGAGAATGCAAAGTATTGGAGGGAGTAGGGGAAGTGAGTAACCTTAAAGAAATAATATATTAGTTAAATACAAAAAACAGAAAAATAGGGGTTATTTCATCTTTCCTTGCCCCTTAAAAACAAAACGAACTACCAAACCAAAGTCTAAACTTAAATAGTTCTACACCTACTCTGCAAGTACTAGTAATATGAAAATAATGCTTGACCAAAATTCCCTTGTCTTTTTCTCCTTAGATGATAAAAGAAGTAACATGCCTTGCTGAGGAAAGCGATGGATATAAATGCCAGTAAAATATGCTGCTCTAACATCTGAAAGTGATTACAATGATTCTATATAATGCCTTCGTCCAAAGGGAGAATCAAGGAGGGAGGGAGAGAAACCCTTGAGGCCAGGCTGGGGGTGAACAGGCTGAGGCCTGGTGCCCCCTTCCAACACCCTGTTGTTAACCCCAAGACCCCATGGCCTAGAGGGATTAACATGGGGAACCAGGTAGCCAGGCCTGCTGTGACAAAGGAGGATGAGATGGGAGAGAGATGAAGACATTTTCCCTCCTTGTAATAAAAGAAAAAGGTCTTTACTGAAAGATAAACAAAGCACCACACGATGCATCTTCAGGCATTATATAAACCTCAATAATGACCTCAGAAGGGCTCATTATGATTAAAGTTGCAGTATACAGCCATACGATGTCCTTTCACATTTTCAATCACAACTAATGGAAAACTAGGTTTGGATGCTGCTGACATTTCATTTTTTTCTCCTTTTAGTCTGATCTGGTTTTCCTCCAGGTGGGTCAGAGCCCAGGCCCCTCTCCTCCCCTGCTGCCGGCAGTACCTCTAATATGACAAAGCTCAGTAGCTCTCGGGAAAGGCCCTCTTGCCTGGGCAGGGTTAGAAGTCCAGAGGCACAAGGCCTGGCACCCCCTGGCATGCACCCTTATTTCAAGTATTAATATTCGTTGGGTTTGCAGGGTCTGTACTGTGCTGAGTCAGGAGTTGGTGGTGAGGAGGTGAGAGTGAAGACTGGGGCATGGCGGTTCCTGTTCACTGCCCAAAGCTATGTGCTGTCACCAGGTGGCAGCCTTCCCCATTTCCCCCAGATGCCTGAGCAACTCCCACCATCCTTGGGGCTGGCTGTCTCAATGTAAACATGATGACCACGCTAAACTACAATGGGGCTGGGGAGGAGTACAGATTGATATGGGGGAGGGGGAAGAACTGCCATTAACTAGCTGGGTGATTTGGGGAAAGTCATTTTCCTGTTCTTGGGCTGAAGTAACAGTAAGGGATGGGATGGAGTGACCTCCATGGTCCCTTCCAGTCCTGCCTTTTAATTACACTATGGCTTTCAGAGCCCTGGGAATGAGGAAGAGGGGGTCCTTGGGGGCTTGGGAGAATGTAGGTGGCAGAGAACCACCTACAGTAGGGGCAGTGCAGATGGTCAGGAAGGGTGGGAAGGGTAGGCTCTGGGGAGCACTGTGGTCCAGTCCAATTGAGATGCTCTGTGCTTGGCAGCTGTGCTGCTGTCCCTCCTGGCCTGGCCGGCACACTAGTGGTAGAACTGGCTCAGTGCAGGTATCTGAGGAGCTAGGCCTTGGGCCCTCCCCCTGGAAGGCAGCTATGTGGAAGGTCCTTTCACCTGACAGTCACTCTACTTTTAAATTTTATTTTAAATAATCATAAATTACTTTTTCATCTTTTAATAAATATGTGCTGTTTAAAAAATGAGAAAAGTATATACTGCATCTTTAAGGAATGCACTTTGCTCTCTGGGTTTCTTTGCATTCTACCTTATTTAAAGTGCATTAATTAAAAATAATGAACCACTTCTTTATCATTATTGTTCAAATAAGTACAAATAATATTAATAGGAAGACACTAAACCACTACCATTAGTACTGCAATCTAGCAGATTAATTCAACATACTGCTCTATTTAATACTGTCCAGCAGAAGAAAATAACTAATTTCAATTTTAAAACAAACTCATGAACAAAGAAAAGAAAACCAATCTCACCACGGCCCTTTGACAAAGAAGGCAAGCAGTTTGCTATAGCTGCCAGGCATTGGTGTGGGGCAAGGGACAGGGGCCTGGTGATCCAGGCAAGGTCTCTGAGATCCAGAAGGTGGGGACAGGGGGTTTGAAGGTACCGAGACATGGGGTCCCAGCTGGCCTGCTTGGGGAGGGTCAGGGTTGGGGAGGTCCTTGCCCCTGGGTGGAAAGCTGCCACCCTCAGTCCAGTGGTTCTGGCAGCTCAGTGTGTTAGCGCTCCAAGGCCTGGTCTCTCTGAAATCAAAGGCACGTGCGGAAATCCACTCCCAGCAAGGGGTAAGTCCTTGGAAGCCAACTGGGCTTCTTTCTGGAAGGCCCCCTCTGAAATGTCAACCATTGAAAAACACAACCCAAAGTTGACAGAGGACCTGCAGGAAACTTCGTTCTCTCACTTCTCTCTTCACTGGGGCATGGCCCCTTAGGAGGACCAGGCCGGTTCTTGGCACTGGGGTCTGCCATCTTCTCGGGCACCTGTGGCATTGCCAGCAGGCCAAAGGGGGCAGCAGGTGATGTCTGCTCCAGTGTGACCCATATGTGGGCCATGGCTGTTTCTTGACAGTTCCTATGTAAGGCTTTCTTTTGGCCTACCTAGATGGGGAACATACACAGTGGTGGTCCCCCAGCTACCTGGAAGCTGCCATCTCTCCAGAGGTCTTGCTCCTAACAACACTCTCCTCTCTCAGGGACGTTTCTGTCCCACCAAGGTTGGGCAGGAACCAAAACAGCTTCTTTGTTTGGCTGAGCCCAGGACCTGGTTTTACTTATCCAGCCCCCAATCCCTCTGGCAAGTGCCATGCTCAGGTACTGTCTACATAGTGGAAACTAAACGAAACAACTTGGCTTATGGAAGGGTAAGAATGTGAAAAACAAATCAAAACAAGCACCCCTCCATGGAATATAACAGAAAAGCCCACCCATCACCACCCCTTTTCCCACGTGAGGCCAACCACCTTGGGCCCCCAAACAACTCCAAAAATAAGCCCAAAGGCCTAATATATAAAACCAATAAACCTCTATCAAAACATGCAAAGGAACCGCCCACCCAGAAACACCTAAAGTAACCTGTGCAGATCGAGAGGAGCCCAACGGCGTCTCCCACTCTCTCTGTGAACTCTGTGTCCTCCACGGGGCCCTGAGGAGGGTGGGCCCTTTTCTCAAGGCCAGGACAGTGACAGCGACCAAAGGTGGCGATTGCTGGCACCACCTACCTTTTTCTTTAACTACCAGACACAGACACTGGCCTGGCCCACGGAAGGACTGAGCTCACATGAGATACTGCCCAGCCCCTGAGCCCGTGGTGACTTCTACTGCACCCACCAGTGGCGGGCAGTGGCAATTCCTGGAAACAGCACAATCACAAACATATATTAGCGCAATACAAGGGCTACCTCTGGTGGCAGGAAGCCAGCCACCACAATGGCCAAGCAGGGGCAGGACACTGGAGGCCCCCATGACCATGTCTTTACCAGATTTGCAGCAAAGGCACAATTGGGGTTTCCCACATAGCCTGTCCCAAAAGGTGCACAGTCCATCAGTGAAGTCACCAAGGTGCACACGTGGGTCCCAGGCCCAGGACTGCCTAGTTATTCCCTACTTAATGTGGGTCCCTATCAGATCCTCCCTTCCAGCTGGGGGGCATCCTTGAGGTCACACATTCTGCATGGTTCAATGTTGTCCTTCCCCACCCCCTCCCTTTTTGTCCTTCCCCTTGTGTGCATGCCACTGTTCATCCAGTGGTGGCCGTGGTGACACACAGAGGTTGGAAGGACCCCAGGCCCTCTGTTAGTTCTTCTTTTCAAGGTAGTTGGAGGGCACCCAGCCTTTGAAGGGCTTCACCTCGTCCAGGATCTGGCAGTACCACCAGCCATTGGGGTTCCTCTCCAGCACCTCCATGGATACCCCTCCTGGAAGCCTGCTGTCTCTTCATCCCCCTCGTAGTCCGCTATAGAGACGTACACATCTTTGAGGTTATTGTGGATGAACTGGGATTTCTCAATGGGCTTGGGGCGCACGGGGGACACAGGAATACCATTGCGCTGAGTGGGCAGCAGGGGTGAATCTGAGCCCTGGCTGGTGGCTCGCTCTGCTAGGCGGCCCTTGGCCTCTGTGGCCACCGAGCGTGCAGTGCTAAAAGAGGAGTTCCGGCGGACACCTCGGAGGTTGTCGGTGGCTGTGAGTGACTCGTTCCTCCGCAGGGCACAGGACAGGTTGTTGTCCTTGGGTGGCGGGGACACGAACACAGACTGGGGCCTGACTGCCACCTGCCGCACTCCATTCCTCATCTTCACTGCTGCTGTGGTGCCTGACGTTTTGCTGAAGCCCCCAGGGGGCTTGGAGGGGATGGGCGGTGTGGCCCTCTTACTTTGGTTCACGGTGTTCAGTGCTTGCACCCGCTTCTCTATCTTTTCCAGGCTGTCTGACTTGCCCTCATTCTGCTTGCTTTTTCCTGCCTCTACCTCTTTGCCACAGGGGTTGGGTTGCTGGCTCTCATCAGGCACCAAATAGTGGGAAGGGGCCCAGCCCTCCAGCTCCCCAAACCTCACATACCACCACCCGCTTTCCAACTTCTCTAACACCTGTACTTCTACACCCGCAGGGAAGCTGATCTCTGAGTCCTGGACCTTCTGATAGGCGCTACACGTCACATAGGAGGTAGCCTGTCCTTCCCACTCCTTCTTAGGAGGACAGGGGGGAGTGGCGGCTGGGAGGGTGATGACATCGGCTGAGCCCCTCCTGGTCTCCTCATGGGACCCCTCGGAGGCTGTGTGCGGGGGCAGTTCTGAATCCTCACTCTTAGAGCCCTTAAGGCCTCCCCGGAGCTGGCCTGTAGGTCTCAGCTGGCGCCGTAAAGTGCTGATATCCATCTTCTCTTGGCTCTGTGATTCAGCTCGGTTCAGGAATGGCTTGGGCCGGACCGATGGCTTGGTCCGAACACAGGAAGTCAGCCCAGTCTTCACATCTGCATCCTTCTTGGCCCCAACCTTGGGAGTGCCCCGGATGCCTGCGTCTGAGGCTGAGCGGGGCTTCAGGTCACCACTGTTCTTGGACAGGGAGGAGGACGAGGAGGAGGACGAAGAGGAGCAGGTGGTGTTGATGGTGATGGATGAGGAAAAGGAGGCTGAGGAGTGGTTCTTCCCTAGTTCTGCCTGGGCATTCTTCTCTGCTTTGAGCTTGAGGAGTGATGATGACTTGGGGGAGCTGGGTTTAGGGGAGTTTTTTCTGGCAAGGGACAGAGAGGATCCTCCTGGGGAGTCGCTGTCCCCGGAGGAGCCTCTGGCTGACAGGGCATCCTCTGCACATGGTCTGAAGCCCTCATTCTCATAGATGGTCTCCTCTTCCAGGGCCACATCCTCAGAAGACTCCCCCACCTTGAAGTGGGCCCGCTGCAGGGATGAGGCAGGCGAGGGCCTGCGGGGCTGGGCAGGCCTCCTGTCCCCAGAGCCTTTGTCCTCTGTAGTCTCCTCACTCAGCTCTGGTTCAGAGTCAAAGCCGAAGGCAGGGATGTCATACTCAGGCTCTTCGTACTTGAGCTTCAGTGGGGAGGCCTGGTTTTCACTGGCACTTACAGGACCCTCCTCGGCCTCCTTGGGTTTGCTGGGGGGTGCAGGCGGGGGCACCTTGGGCCGGGTCAGTGTGCTGGTGCGGCGGCTCAGGTTAGGCTTCTTGCGTTTATCAATGTAGGATGCAGGGGCCCAGCCCTCCTTCTCACCGATCTGCACATACCACCAGCCTCCAGAGTTCTTATCGATGACCTGGGGGAAAGAGGGTAGACAGGAAAGTGGGGTCTCTGGACAATGTCCCAGGCTAGAACTTCATACTTGGGCTACATTATCTCTATTTTGCAGACCAGCAAACTGAGTCTGTGAATAAGTAGCCCAAGACCCAATGTAGTAAAAGACCAATCAAAATTGAAACCCAGGTGTCTAGCATCTCTTGGTTGGTGGCCTCCTGCTCTCCAAGAACCTCTCCCTGGTTTTCCAAGTCTTTGCCAACAACCTGGGCAAGAAGTCTTCTTTACAAAGCCCATCCCTCCTCCCCAAAGCCCCTGCACTGTTTCCAGCCCCTAAAAAACCCAACTCACCAAGGACCCACCGTTCTGCTGCTCCATACTCCTCCCACCTCCCAATAACCCTCAAAAGGGTGTCTCAGGTAAGAATGGGGAGATGCAGATGAACTGAACTGGGGGATACAGTCCCTAGACCTACCCTATGGGCAGGGTGTCTCCCCAGCATCCACTGCCTGGAATCTCATTAGTTGAAAAGATCTCTTTGGGTCAAATGGTTTCCTATAGGAAGGCTGAGGGCTTTCAGTCGTTCCCAGATTAGTATAAACTAGTCCAAGGAGATTCCTGCTTAACTTCTAAGATGGGCTAATGACCAGAAGTATGGTGGCTCGTTGTGCTGGGGTTCATTTTGACTGAGGAATATCAAAGGAAGATAATTTGGGATATTCCTGGAGGAAGAGGTCCCTGGGAAAACCCCTGGGGAAGGGAAATATGAAATTACTGGCACTGTGCAATGGCAAAAAGAAGGGATGGAGGCAGAAGAATGTCACAGCAAGGTCTTCTTGAAAACAGGCCTCTGCAGTCTCTCCCCCATTTAATATTTTTGGACTGCAACTGACCTTGGGTGACTGAAACCACACGAAGCAAACCCTTAGATAAGGGGGACTCCTGCATTTTGTGTTTTACTGGGGCTAAGCATGGCATTCCAGGTGGCAGAGAAGATCTGTGGCTTGGTCATTTCACTTGTGTGGCTCTGTGTAATCATGGAACTAAATTCAAGTAATATATGTCTACTGAACTAAATTCAGTAGACTCTGCCTACTGAAGAGGTGGTGTCCCCAACATGAATGTTTACTTGGATTAAACTCCAGTCACCCAAGGTCAGTTGCAGTCCAAAAATATCAAAAATATTAAATGAAAACTTGTTGAAATAAATAATTCCTAAGTTTTAAATAACTTTATTACAGTTTATTGTTATAATTGTTCGACTTTACTATTAGTTGTCATTGCTAATCTTATGGTACCTAATTTATAAGTTAATTTTATCATGGATGTGCATGTATAGGGAAAAAAACAGTATATGTAGGATTTGCAGAGAGACATACTCAAAGCCTGGGAGTGAGGGGCCAAGCCCAAAGATCCTGTGGTGTGGATGTGCCCAGCCTACAGTCCCCAGTATCTCACTCTCCCTGGGCTACATATTCCCAATAATAGCACTTCATGATGTGAGTTCAGGGGGATCCTGGTTCCTGTAGTGCTCCTGGGAGAGGCCTCAGCAATGCAGGTTAGGCTGCCCCCTTGTGGAGACTGTTGGTGCAGTCCCTACCCTTGACTCCAAGGGGCCTTGCAATCAAAACAACAAAACAGGTGAGATTTTATTTCACTCACTGTCCTCCAGGCTCATATGCTCACAGCAGCCCTTTGTTTGGAGGCATTCTATTCCCAGCACCTATACACGTTTGGGAAATGTCACTCTGCAGCAAAAACTGTTGGCAAGTGCAAGGTGGATGCCTAAGTCCTGGGTTCCAGTCCTGACTGTGGCTTTAGGCAAAGGCCCAATGCTGTGGGGTTTGTTTCTGAACCTTTCCTGCCCGTAATTTGTGAGTCTTCATTCATTAATTTTACAGCCATTTGCTGTGTGTCTCCTGGGTGCCAGACACTGGTCTGAAGCACTGATATCCAATAGTAAACTCAATAAAAGCAAGACCTAAAATGGGAATTTCAGGCCCTTGACAACAATGAGTAAAGCCCTCAGCCTCTCTGTCCCAGGCTTACCTCTGCCTTCTGTCCACCCCGGAAGCTGATCCCATCAGAAATGCATGACTGGAACTCGGCAATGGTGTAGTACTCCACCTCAACAGAAGGGGGCTCCGGTGGCTTTGGCAGTTGGAACCCCTGAGGCAAAGAGAGAATAGAGTGAGAAAACCCCAGCTAATCAGGATGTAACAAAGCCAAGGACTGGTGCCTACTAGGGCCCCAGGAGGTACATGTGGACACTGACACCAGCTGGCCTGGCAGGTGCCTATCTTTCACATCTCAGGGTACATCCCCAAGAGGCCACCCTCCCTAGGAGCCTCTGATGATACTCAGGGTTCCCCGAGACTGGTCTGCGCTCTCGGGAGGCTTGTGATTAACATAGCATTGTCTGCCCTTAACATCTCTCAGAGGATCAGTAGCTGGGTCCTAAAATGAAAATTAAAAGGCAAAGAATCACTTTAACAAAGCAGTGCCCAGGGGGAGAGGACAGCTACCATCCTAAGTCTGAAGGCAGGGGGCTACAGGCAGGAGGATGGCAGCAGAGATTGGGCAAAGTAGCCAACCACTCTGGGGGTAAGGAGGGAATGTGAGGGGGCAGTGAGGTTGGGTGAGAAGTCTTGGGTGGATCATTCTGATGGTGCCCAAATCAGGCAAGCCCTGAATAAAACTCAGGACCCTCTGTCTCTGTGGGCAAATAGAACACACTGGAGGTTCTAAATGCCTTTTAGACACTGGCAAACAACCTTGAACCGTGCTATTCAAGGATGCTAGAAACATGGCCTCAGCCCATAATTTGTGAGCCTTTATTCATTCATTTTACAGTCATTTGCTGTGCATCTACTGGGTGCCAGACACTGGCGGGGACCTGGTATCCAACAGCAAATCCAATGGACAACTTACTCTGGTGGATTCTAGCTTCAGCTGGCCTCTACTCTGGCTAAAATAAGCTTTGTGTCTACTTACTGATATCCCTCTCATACAAAAGGGTTAAAACAAAGCAATAAAAAAGAAAAAAGGGAGGGAGAGAGAGAGGGAAGAGCTGTGGTGTGGGAGGAAGATTCCAGTCTTAGCAATTCACCAGCTGTTTGGCTGTGGGGGAGGCCCTTGCCCACTCTGAGCCTCAGTTTCCTCATCTGTAAACAGAACTAAGGAAAGGCTCTTTTAGAGGATTACTGAGATAATGCGTAAAACTGCTGGTTTAGTGAGGGCCATAGGAAAAGCTCAAGAAACAGAAACCAAAGGTCAACATTCTCATATCCCCTTCCTCTTCTGAACTTTTCTCATCTTCTGAAACTCAGCATGTCCTCATCCTGCCATCAAAACTGAGCTGTCCTGGGTCAGACTGAGTGTGAGAGGTGGGAGGAAATTGGTTTGGGGGCCTAAATGTGAGTCAATCAACTTTCCTTGCCCCTGTGCCTGGCTCTGCAGCTGTACATGTGAGCAGATGAACCCAGGCCTCAGCATCCTGGCCAGGTGGGATTCAGTTTGGTCTAACCAGAAACAGCAGCCTGGCCTCAGGAAGTTTGCATTTGGTTAAGTGTAGAAAAAATGAAAAATGGTCCTGCTCTTGCCAAAATCCAGTCTTCTGAAAGTAATAAGCTGGGGCTAAAAGACCTGGGAGGATGGGAGAATTCATCATTCAGCTGAAAAACTCCAGGGGAAGAGATACAGAGAAACTCCATCAAGACTCAGCCAGGGCAAGAAGGCTTTGTGGCCAGGGGCCAAACCTCTACAAACTCCATGTGTATGAAGGGCCTCATCTTCCACGGATGGATGCTACCCCCTGTGTAGGGCAGAAGCCACTGATCACAGTGACTTGCTTTGAGCCCAGGTGTGACTTCAGGACCTTTCCCACACAGTGTGCCAGGCGGTACTGCCCAACGGTCAAGAGGTCAACACAAGAAGTGGAACCCAGCTGGTAGCCTTTCACATTTATCACCTCATCTCATCCTTACCAGTCCTACAATAGGGCTAACACTGTCCCCATCTTATGGGCATGAAGTTGAGGCCTATGGAGGTAGGTAACTTGCTCAGGGTCTCTCTGCTAAGTGCCAGAAGTGGAATGAGAACACACATCTGGCAGTTTGAAGCTCCAATCTCTCTGCTACATCCTGCTGCCCCCAGTAACAGGTTCCAGGGCTCTTGGTTTGCCATCAGCATGGCTGCCCCTAACCCTAGCCCCTGTTTGCCTGGCTGAGCTGCTGGTCACCAGGAAACCCTGCCTGCAAGAGCCAAGGACCCCAGTAACATCAACCCTCTTTAAGCTTCCTTGCAATTCCCTCTGTACTGGCAGGATGCTCACTGTTCTACCCTCTGCTCTCCCAGGCTCTGATGTCCACCACAAACATCAGGCATCCCTGAGCAAGCCAAAGTTGAAAGACTTCCGGACCCAAAAGGATAATAGCAGCCCCATTTCTCGCCCCTGGCAATGCCCTGACTGGACATTCTTGTTGGCCAGTCTAAATGTTTACGTCTGCCAGTGCAGTGGCTAGGGTGGATTTATTTAGCTTTGGAGTGCAGTGTGTTTCCGATTATAAACTGTCCAGCCAGGCCCCAGAAAGGCTGGGCTCTGTAGGCCTCTCTCCCTGCCCCTAGCCCCACCAAGCTGGAAGTCCAGGAGAGCTCTGGAAAACCTCTGGGCTGAAAGGCCTCTGTGGCAAGCCAGCCAGTTAATCTGGGCTGCTACGGTGCATCCCCAGAGAAGGAACAAAGGGAGAAGAAAGTCAGTGCACGTACCAGGCTGGATTCTCTGCGTGGTGGTGGTCTTGTCCTCAGGTTTGGGGAGCCTAGAAGAAGAAATGTGGCTTCAGAACTCTCAGTTGGGCAACACCTGCCTCCCCCAGGTGTCCCCAACTCCTGATCCCTGGAACTTTGTGTTCTTGTCCTACATTTACAAAGGACCTGAGGTATAAAATAGACCTTTAAGCTTCCTTAGCTGTACTTCGGTGGGGGGTTGGGGGGTGGTCCACGAATCTCCTAAGATTATATGCACACACAGTATACAGACATAGGTACATAGGATTTTTTTCTTTTGTACTGGGGATGAAACCCAGAGCCTCCTGTTTGCTAGGCAAGCACTCTACCACTTGAACTACACCCCTAGCCCTTCTGTTTTTATTATGTTTTTGAGATTGGGTTTTACTAACTTTCGCCCAGGGTTTGCCTTTCAGTCTCGATCCTTCTGCCCCCGTCTCCTGAGTAGCTGAGACTACAGGTATGTAACACTATGCCTGGTTAAGGATATACATTTAACAGATTTTCAAAGTTAGGAGCAGAGACCATGTCTATTTTTCTGCTCACTACTAAGTTCTTAGAAGCTAGCACAAGGTCAGGCAAGATGGGGGGTGCTCAATAAAGATCCCCCCAAGTGGTTGTCCAAAAGGTCTCAGGTACAAGAGCTAATAACCAAGTTTACAGCTTAAAAGACAGCCTTCTTCCAGATTATAAGAATGGCTGGATGTACACAGAAGCTGGCTCCCCTTACTCCTGAACAGTTTAACACTCTGCCAAAGGCAATGCTGGCCCCTCGATGTCTGGGTTTTCCACAAGAATCGAGAAGGCACTCGGATCGAGCCCTGTTCCAGTTGCTTTGTGGAGGATGCTAAAGCGCCTGCCTCCCCGTCTCTTAGGTGTCTAGAAGCTGGTGGAAGGTGATGGGGAAGGAGCATTTCAGGCCAGAAAGATATTCTTCTACATTTCTCACTTCACAAAGCAGCCCTGCAGATAGGGCCCCCATGACAACCCAGAGGAAGATGGGTTTTATTTATTTTTTTTGTAAAATCAGCTGCACATCATCCATCAAGATTCCTGAAGCCTTTCCTTCAGAGTAAAGAAAGCATCTCTTGCTCTTGGGACACATTCCTCGGCCAAATGGCCACTCCTGGCTCTCTCCTAGGGAAGGGGGGAAGCCAGTAGCCTGCACCCTCCTGAGATTAGTATTTGGAGCAGAATTGGGAGGGATGCACCATAAAGTGTGGCTTTTTCCATTTTTGTGGTGAGCATGATATGAGATGGTGACATGAGGGTCAGGAGCCAGTGTGTCGCTCAAGTGAAAATAATGTGTGGGTCCCGAACACCCTCCGGCTTTCCTCCCACACCATCCTGCCCTGTTAAGAATTCTGTGGTGAAGATCCAGAAATCAGTGAGGT